GGAAGAAGCCTGTAAGACAAAGTATGTCAGCGCATAATCCTCGATCCTCTCCACCATGGAACTGCCTAAGGAGCGGCAAGAAAAAGTAGGTCAGTGCATATTCACAGTCGATACCCTCGTCGAAACCTCCTCAACACCTCACCACAAACTCCCCCTCATCACCTTATCCTCACACCAATTGCCACAACCCCGTCCTTCGGATCCCTACCACCCAACCCATGCACATCCCAATCACAAAATTAAGTCCACCAAGTAAACAACCACCCAAATCCTCCCTCAACCTCACATAGAACAGTGCAACCCTTCACCCCACCAGTTGCCCTGTTCTTTCTTAAACAACAATTCTCGCGCTTCCCGTTCCCCACCAAGGCCTTTCCATCTAAATGAGAAGAAGCGTGCTCGTGCATCCTTTTTGCCCCAAAAGGTCCCTGCCCCATCACCACCCGCGCCCCGTGCCCTCCCCCCCCTCCCTCCCCCACCTCCCGTCGCTCCCTCTCCCCCACCACCACCCAACCTCAGACTTAGGTAGGAGCACCAAGACTATCTCCTACAACATCTAATACTGGTCAACATCCGCGTGTGAAGTCTGATGACTTGAGTCATACCAAGTCACCACCCTAGAAAGTAGGCATCTTTCTATTCCGATTCTCTTTCTCTATCATGACCTGCTATGACTTCTGGAGCTGTTCGACAAGATCCACTCGAAAGGGAATGTCCCTACACAGTGCAAGGTGAGGAAATCAATACTCTAGCTACACGTGAGATTGATTCCAGACAATAAGAATCGGACGGCGCAAAGTGAAGGTGTTTGTCAGCTTCCCTTCCTGAGCCTACAAACAAGGCTAAGGTTTTGGGGGCCGAGCTGCATGACGGGAAACTGTCACATGTGTTTCTCCAGGCAGGCGTTCGGCACTGACCCCTATACTACATCATGATATCTTTTTTTTGTTGCTGGTGATTCGAATCTTCGTGTTATGGATGTTGGTTCATGTTTTATAGCATTTTCACTATAAGAAAAAAACAATTCCAGAGAGAATTGTTCATGAAACCACTATAGAAATCATTTGGACTAATTTTCCTAGTGTTATACTAATGTGCATTGCAATATCATCGTTTGCTCTAATTATATTCCATGGATGAGGTAGTAGATCCTGCAATTACTATCGAAGTGATTGGACATCAATGGTATTGGACATGAGTATTCAGATTACAATACTTCTGATGAACAATCACTTACTTTTGATGGTTATATCCAGAGGATGATCTAGAATTGGGTCAATTACGTTTATTAGAAGTAGATAATCGAGTGGTTGTACCAACCAGAACGCATTTACATATTATGATTATAACATCTGTTGAATGTCCCTACTGGCCGTGTGTCCCCCAGTTCCAGCGCAGTAAAGAAATGCAACTGGCGGCAACAGATATGGGGCCAAAAGGGTCCTGTCCCGTTGGGCCTGGTCCCACTGAGTACCAGAGTAGGCAGTGGACCAGGACCAACCAGAAGGGTGTCCCAAGATGGTCTCAAACTGCCTTTACCATGCTGAAAAGAAAAGACGACTTCAGCAAGAACCTACAAACTACACCCTTTCAGAGATGAAAAGACAATGCACTATAGAAAGATATGTCGTTGAGAACAAGATACATCATCCATCC